GCACCCGCCTACCCCCCCCCCCCCCCCCCCCCTCCCTTTCTTTCCTGCCCTGCCAGGCTGCTGCCAGGATTAAGAGTCTGGTAAGGGATTTTAGGGGAGTACCCACTTTTTATTTTTTTTACTTTTTTGGCGTTGGGTTTCCCCCTTAAAATTCCTAACAGACCTAAAGGGTCTGGTATTAATTGCCAGGAAAATGCACACTATTTTTTTTACATCAAGGGTCCCCCATAACATGCCAACCAAACCTAAAGGAACCGCGTGCTGTTTTTTAAAAAAAAATTATTATTATTTCTGTGAACAGTTAAACACTTTTGCTGCGTATCCTGTGACAGCTGTCAGATTCCTTACATTTGGGATGGAAATGTTTATAAAGAAGCAGAAGCTGTTACACAGATCTCTCAGCTTCTTTCTTTATTTACATTTTGTAACAATATTCTGTTACTTTGTTTTCATTTGCGATACAAGTGCAGAGAAGTCAGAGAGCGGTAAATGACAGCTTCCCCGCTTGTTGTGTTTATTTTCACAATGAAATTCGTATGTATCCGAATCTCATTATTAAACATTTGGATTCGTTCAGATTCGTTAGTTCCTGTCGTTCGCAAATTTGAATGCATTCACAGAAATTCCTAGGAATTTCGATTCTGAACTAAACAAAATCGCACATGTCTACTACACAGGCACATAGAGACATGCTGGGTGCACAGGGGTACACTTGGAGATACAGAGGAGCGCAGAGGTACACTTGGAAAAACAGGGAAGCACAGAGGTACAATGGAAGATACAGAGGAGCAAAAAGGTACACTTGGAGATACAGAGAAGCACAGGGGTACACTTGGAGATAAAGAGGAGCACAGAGGTACAATGGGAAATACAGAGGAGCAAAAAGGTACACTTGGAGATACAGAGAAGCACAGAGGTACCCTTGGGGATACAGAGGAGCACAGAGGTACAATGGGATATACAGAGGAGCACAAAGGAACAGTTGGAGATACAGAGGAGCACAGAGGTACACTTGGAGATGCAGAGGAGCACAGAGGTACACTTGGAGATACAGGGCAGCACAGAGGTGCAATGGGAGATACAGAGGAGCACAAAGGAACAGTTGGAGATACAGAGGAGCACAGAGGTATACTTGGAGATACAGAGGAGCACAGGGGTACACTTGGAGATACAGAGGAGCACAGGGGTACACTTGGAGATACAGAGGAGCACAGGGGTATACTTGGAGCTACAGAGGAGCACAGGGGTACACTTGGAGCTACAGAGGAGCACAGGGGTACACTTGGAGCTACAGCACAGGGGTACACTTGGAGATACAGAGGAGCACAGATGTACAATGGGAGATACAGAGGAGCACAGAGCTACACTTGGAGATACAAAGGAGCACAGGGGTACACTTGGAGCTACACTTGGAGATACGAAGGAACATAGGAGGTACACTTGGAGATACAGAGAACAGGGGAACACTTGGAGATACAGAGGAGAACAGGGGAACACTTGGAGATACAGAGGAGAACAGGGGAACACTTGGAGATACAGAGGAGAACAGGGGAACACTTGGAGATACAGAGGAGAACAGGGGAACACTTGGAGATACAGAGGAGAACAGGGGAACACTTGGAGATACAGAGGAGAACAGGGGAACACTTGGAGATACAGAGGAGAACAGGGGAACACTTGGAGATACAGAGGAGAACAGGGGAACACTTGGAGATACAGAGGAGAACAGGGGAACACTTGGAGATACAGAGGAGAACAGGGGAACACTTGGAGATACAGAGGAGAACAGGGGAACACTTGGAGATACAGAGGAGAACAGGGGAACACTTGGAGATACAGAGGAGAACAGGGGAACACTTGGAGATACAGAGGAGAACAGGGGAACACTTGGAGATACAGAGGAGAACAGGGGTACACTTGGAGATACAGAGGAGCACAGAGCTACACTTGGAGATACGGAGGAACATAGGAGGTACACTTGGAGATACAGAGAACAGGGGAACACTTGGAGATACAGAGGAGAACAGGGGTACACTTGGAGATACAGAGGAGAACAGGGGAACACTTGGAGATACAGAGTAGAACAGGGGTACACTTGGAGATACAGAGGAGAACAGGGGTACACTTGGAGATACAGAGGAGCACAGGGGAACACTTGGAGATATGGAGGCACACAGAAGTTCATTTGGAGATATGGAGACACACAGAAGCTCATTTGGAGATATGGAGGCACATAGAGCCGCGCTAGGGGCACAGGGGAACCCTTGCAGTTATAAATGCACTTACGTGCCTGCTGGTGGCACAGGAGTACACTTGGACATATGGAGGATCTTAAGTGGCTGTCTCTCCTCACACTCTCCATTGTTTGCATTGACAATGGTGGAATAAACTGCATTATAGTGTATTATGTCACTGACGTCATTCATGAGAGAGGCCTGGAGCCTAACTGCCTCACTTCCCATTGACTTACATTATATATCAGATTTCAATTTACATCAGTTTCTATTCACAACCATTGCTTCAGGAACCTACCCCTGGGGTAACTTGAGGGCTACCTGTACACACATAGCTATACCGAAATGTGGATATATGAGAACCTGTACAGGGATCTCCTCTGCCCCTCTGTCCCTAGCCTGCCCCTGTGATTGATTAATTTAATCTTTTTCAATCACAGAGACTCAGCATCACATGTGGGCATTACCTAGGTCAGTCTACATGCATATGCTGTCTGTCTTGGAATCCCCACTCCTCCAGACTGACATCCACCCACCACAGCATTTTGATTTATTTGTATGTTCCTCCCAAGAGTTAACCCACTGCTTGCATCAGCACTGAGGGCCCTTGAGAACGGTACTGAGGCAGGGTGCTGTGATGTTTTCAGGAAGCTGTGTCAGCACCCTGCCGTCACCTCCCACCAGCCATTAACTGCCTGCATTGCATAGAAAAGCACAGAGACCCAGTGATGATATTACTGGGTCTAAAATAAGGTACTGTATATAATGAAAGTGGAAACATTTTATTTAACATTTTATTGGCATGTTGCTGAGGTAAGGGAAGGGGAATATTAAACTTTAGCTTTATTGACAACCTTTACTGATCGGCTGTTATTAAAGAGCAACTCCAGGAAACACCCGGTTACCCCCGCACTGCAAGGGTTAACTGCATGTAGGGACTAAAAAAAAAAAGTTATTCTCACCTGATCCACCGAGCCAGCTGTCTGTGACAGTGCTCCCCCCCGCCTGCCTCCACCACCGGCGCGTTGCCGGGCCCCCCCCCCCCCCCCCCGGGGGTAGCCCCACTGCAAGGGTTAATAAAAATGATGCCCAGAGTTTTGCTTTAAGTGGGAAGCCACCATACATCCTAACGCTGTAGATGTGAAAGTAAGAATTGCACTTTCAGCGAAAAGGTCTAATTCCGATTTGTGTGATTGCCGGTTTACACCATAAACAGTGCCTTCCAGAGCGGTCAGCCTCTGGAACGCACTCTATCACATCCCGCCCGGCTTCCTGCATTCAGGGGCGAGAGGGTTTGTGACGGTGCATTGAAGTCAATGGCACCGCAGCCACGCCCCCTGCCCGAAGTGCGATCACCCACACCAGAACGCGTGGCACATCAGTGCCTGCGTTCCAGTCCAGTGCCTGTGTTCCAGTCCAGTGCCATCTGGAAAAATGCTGCAAGCACTATTCTTTCAGATCGCACTGGACCGGAACACTGGCACTGATGTGCCACGTGATCTGGTGCAGGCAATCGCACTGCGGGCGGGGGGCGTGGCTGCGGTGCCATTGACTTCAGTGCACTGCCACTCCTGCTCCTGAGCGCAGGAAGCCAGCCAGGATGCAATACAATGCGTTCCAGTGGCTGAGCGCTCTGGAACGCACTGTTTATGGTGTGAACCGACCCTCAATTAATTTTCTCATTCAAGTGCTTATATTATGTGGCTGCGAATAAAAGCAACCGCGTCCAAATGTATGAGATATAATATATTTTTACTGCAACCATGTTGAGTGGCAAGACTGTGCTGCACATGAATAATACCAAAGGGGGTCTATTTATAAAATGTTTTCATCTAATTTTCACACAGCTTTCACCTAGGATTCACATATCTTATATCCATAGGAATCCAGGATCTGCAACATTTTTGACAATTATGCAACCAAATCAAGTTCACTAAAATCACTTCACTCGATCCTAAAGTGGCTATTTCCAGGTGTTTGTGCCTATTACAGAGCCACCTATATAGTCTGATATATAGGAACACCTATGGAGTTATCGATTTTAATGAGAAACATGAATTGGCTACTTCATGTCTTTTCATCAGCCCATGATCACTGTACTTTAATCAGCATTAAAAAGAGACTTGCTTCAGATCCTGTCACATCTCCACCTTTCTTGATCTCTGTTTAGCACCCTTTCCCCTCCCATCTGCAGCTAATGTTTGTGGATAAACAAAAAGCTCAGGACAGAAAAGAGGAAGAGCTGTGTCATAGAGACTCAGAGCAGGTCACTCAGAGCCCAGGAAATGCGAAGGACTCAGAGTCTAAAGAGCTGAGACGCCAATGCCCAACAAGTGTACCAGACACAAGATTGTACACCAGAACAGGGGGATACAGGCTTCATCAAACCTTATATAGGAAGAAACAGTATCCAGGATACACAGGTGAGCATGGATCCAGTTACATACTAGTACAATGCTGTTACCATTTCTCATGATAATGTCCTGTTTACCTGACAATACAGTTCACCTTTACGATACATGGAATGTTATATTTCCACTGCCAGTGATAATAAAGGTTTTGCATGTTATGATTTTATATTTCCTTAAAGTCACATATAAAATAACAATTTGCTTCCTATATAAAATATTTATTTTTTATATTCCTATTTATAAAATATTGCTTTCTATATCAAATATTTATGTAGTAAGAGACGAAGGGTAAGGACACAGAAATTAGTGGCCTTCTGTACTCCTCTAAAATGACCGCAACAGAGTCATGCACCTTTTTCTATGGCGTCGGTCTAGCACTGTTGGGTGCAAACAAAAATTTGCTCAGAATCAGAAAGAGTCGCACTCCAAGGGTCTTCACCCAAGATAAAAATCTTTATTTATGGAGCAAATACATGCTGTTAGATCCTCCCCATGCATGCCCAACCTCTTACGCATTTCACCATTCTGGATTACAATTTGCTCAGGTTTAAAGTAGTATTAAACTCTCAAGTTTTTAAAAATGAATAAATCCACATCAAGCAAATATACATGGCCCAGCGAAGTGTTTCTTTATATTTTTGCTGAAGAAGTTAGTCATCATGTTTCTGAACAGCTCCAACTCTCTCACCTCTGCACATTCCCCTGAACATGCTGTCCGGTACAAGATCACAAAGGAGAGCACAGTCTAGAGCAGCTGTCCATCTACTAGCTTGGACGAGGAAGGAGCAGAGGAATAACTTTCCTAGCTGTGCCTGTTTGTTTATGGAGACACACACACAGTTTACTAGCACACACAGGGGTGGCTCCATAGGATATCACACTAAAAACAGGATATCAAGGCCAATGCTCAGGAGACCATCTGAAACTAAAATGTATAAACTTCAAAAAGCGACATCTATTGTAAGTGATTTAATCAGCATTTGAAATAGCTTAAAAACCTTCTGACTTAATTGGAAATCACCCCATCCACCGACCGTCCGGGAGTGACACTCTCAGATGCGGTGTCGACCATGGAGGAACTTATCTTTTCCAGTAAGGATGACATGTCCAGATACCTAAAAACTTGGACAGTGTGGCATCTATTCAAGGACTCAGATGCATACGACGCTTTTCATCTGTGAATGTTTACTCCTCCCTCCTCTGTGATCTCACCCCCCTTTTCTCTTCCACTGGGGAGTCCAGACGGGACCTTCTCCCCTCTCTTGCCTTTTCTACTTATGCATCCCTCACCCTTCTCTCTCGCCTTTATCTCTCTTTCTTTTCTTCTCTACTGCTAACTACTTCTTCCTTACCCTGTCCCTTACCCAATCTTTCCCTTTTCGTTCTTCTTCCCTTCTTAGACTTCTTCACCCTCTATATAGGTTACCATGCTCGATCCCGCAATGTATATTGCTCCTTGGGTAATGCCCTTCCCGTTCCCCACCCCTCCTTTGTGTACAGGGGCCACAACAACTTTGTAGCACTACTGAGGCTTGATTGTCCTTTATCCTGCCTATTTACTGCCTGCAGTAATTATTGTGCACCATTCTATTTAATGGTTGGATGCAAAGTCATCCTAAACAACATAGCTTCCTTCACACATGCCCCAATTTCCTTTAATGTATTGTTTTGGACCTCTTATGGATGTTCACAAGCATTTGTCCAATGTCTGTGTACTTGCTTTTGTTAATTCTTAAACAATAAAAATGTACTTGTGAAAATAAAAATATAAAACCCGAAAAAATAACCCACCCCCCAAAAAAAATCCTTCTGACTTTAATATCACTTGAACAAATGAATACATGAGAGTAAATATATCCCTTCCCTTTCATTACAATAGAATTAAAGTTGTGTTTTTTTCTATTAGTTTTCCTATTATTTATACATTTTATTTAAAGCTTAAATCTTTAATTAGATATTATTCAGTTACTTTAGTTTGTATTATTTTGTACTTTCTATGGCATTTGTTAATTACTGTAGCATTTGCTGTACAAATACGGCTTAAACATATTTGTGATTGTGTGACGTCTGTGCGACACACTTGATTTAATTAGGGTGCAACCATTTATCATTTCGGAACAAAGACGTTGAGCTGGAGGGACTCATACAAACTGTGGAACTGTAACATTGACAGTAGAAAAACAAATTTCAGCTGCAGGATGACCATGTTTAATAAAAATTTGGAGTTGGAGTCACTAATGTTAGAGAAAATTCATTAACATTGAGACTATTTAATGAGTATAAATTCCCTGAAAAGAAGTATTAACATGAATGCTTCACCATAGATGGCTAAAACAAGCTTATTAAATCCTGTTATCTAGCCCCTCTTAATTTTTTCTATTTTCCCAGTTTACCCCAGTAATTTCTTATTTTACAATATTTCACCCTATCAATCAGATTTATGCAGTAACCATGTGTGTTTTAGCTGACCATGTGCGCTTACTTCTCTTACACAGCACCATGAAATGTAAAATTTTACATCCCCACCATTCATATATTTTATAAAACAGATGGTTGATAGTGACAGCAGTGGACTAAAAATAAGAGATACATAGAATAGCATGAAATGTGTGTGATCATGTAGTTGTTGTTGAAACAAAGCAGTGTCTTTACCTGTCACCAGGTCAGAATCAAGAGGTACCAAAGGTATCCATGTACTCCACGTACAAAAATTGTATGCCTTCCATTTTAGTTTTGGTTTTGTAACGCCTGTCTTTTGGATTGAGGTTGTGGATCGCAACTGCGGAGGCTTCTCAGGCACGAATCCCTGGTTTCACTCCCAAACTTGATGGGGAGTTAGGGTTCTAGCATCACAGCCCAAAATAATATAATATAAGGTTTGATTAGGGTTATTGCTTCATAAACCTGATCCCACACAGCAATATCAAAGTAAGCAAAAATTGAGTAAGGATGTCACAGTACTCCAGGATAGTATGCAAATCAAGAGTCAATGTTTAATTTCCAAGTACTCTAAATGTAGGCAGGAGATGGTATTGGCAAGAGGATATACAGTCTATATCGTATGGTGGAGGTGCAGCATGCACAACTACTTGCAGTTTTTAGGAGTGGTGTGGAGCTGGGGGTCCTGTGGTCTCTCATCCAAGGTATGGGAGCTGGCAGCAAAGGTTAGAGTAGCTGATGGGTCCCAGGAGACAGCAGACGTTCAGTCCTCAATAGTGGAACGCCATACTGTCTCACTGGGCCGTTTTTATAGGGCTAAGAAGCTGGGGGAGGAGCCGCTGATCGGAGCGGCGCACTTCCGCGTCCCACGGTGGAACGCATCCGGCCCCCGAACCCGGAAGCGGATGCTTGCGCTCCACAGTGGGACGCAGGAGGCCGAGTCCGAGAAGCGGCGGAAACCCGCAACCCCGATCCCCTGCTGAGGGCCGACGGCGGTTGCCGTTACAGGTTTCCCCCCAGAACATACTGACAAGTTCTAACTTCCAAACTGGCTAGTGTATGACTGTGAATTAGGGTGGCAGGTCTATGTAACTCTACATGAGCCTGGGGTCCGGAGGGAGCCCACAGAGTACACTCACATCCCTCATGCACCCACCAAGTGGTCAGTGAAGCTGTACAAAGCTGTGCACGGCCTGACTCTTCGCAATGGATTCAATACCTTATTGTTAGGGCTTTCTTGGATAGGCCTTGTCGGTAGAGACAAAGGATGCACCGATACTAGTATCGGTATCTGTGCCGATACTGAGTATTTTGGCGAGTAATCATACTCACCCAAATGCTCCGATACTTCCCCCCCGATACGGGAACTTATCGGTGCATGAGGGAACATGGAACCGGCTTCCTTGAGAAGAGATAATGAATGAAAAAGAAAGAAAAGAGAATATAGAGAAAAAAATAATATAATATAAGGTTTGATTAGGGTTATTGCTTCATAAACCTGATCCCACACAGCAATATCAAAGTAAGCAAAAATTGAGTAAGGATGTCACAGTACTCCAGGATAGTATGCAAATCAAGAGTCAATGTTTAATTTCCAAGTACTCTAAATGTAGGCAGGAGATGGTATTGGCAAGAGGATATACAGTCTATATCGTATGGTGGAGGTGCAGCATGCACAACTACTTGCAGTTTTTAGGAGTGGTGTGGAGCTGGGGGTCCTGTGGTCTCTCATCCAAGGTATGGGAGCTGGCAGCAAAGGTTAGAGTAGCTGATGGGTCCCAGGAGACAGCAGACGTTCAGTCCTCAATAGTGGAACGCCATACTGTCTCACTGGGCCGTTTTTATAGGGCTAAGAAGCTGGGGGAGGAGCCGCTGATCGGAGCGGCGCACTTCCGCGTCCCACGGTGGAACGCATCCGGCCCCCGAACCCGGAAGCGGATGCTTGCGCTCCACAGTGGGACGCAGGAGGCCGAGTCCGAGAAGCGGCGGAAACCCGCAACCCCGATCCCCTGCTGAGGGCCGACGGCGGTTGCCGTTACAGGTTTCCCCCCAGAACATACTGACAAGTTCTAACTTCCAAACTGGCTAGTGTATGACTGTGAATTAGGGTGGCAGGTCTATGTAACTCTACATGAGCCTGGGGTCCGGAGGGAGCCCACAGAGTACACTCACATCCCTCATGCACCCACCAAGTGGTCAGTGAAGCTGTACAAAGCTGTGCACGGCCTGACTCTTCGCAATGGATTCAATACCTTATTGTTAGGGCTTTCTTGGATAGGCCTTGTCGGTAGAGACAAAGGATGCACCGATACTAGTATCGGTATCTGTGCCGATACTGAGTATTTTGGCGAGTAATCATACTCACCCAAATGCTCCGATACTTCCCCCCCGATACGGGAACTTATCGGTGCATGAGGGAACATGGAACCGGCTTCCTTGAGAAGAGATAATGAATGAAAAAGAAAGAAAAGAGAATATAGAGAAAGGTGGCGGTTAGGAACAGGAAACAGACACCACTAGAAACTTCAATATCCAGTCTTGGGGGAACTTCTTACATTGCTTTTACTGCTGTCACGGTGATTACTACACCCCTCATTTCCAGCTCTGATCAAAAACATATCTCCTGCTATTGATAAGTGTTAATTGCAAGCTTCTATGAGGTGTCTATTCAGAAGAGAAGAAAAAGGACCCATTTGAGGTGGAGATAGGCATACTTCATCGAATACTTTGGTTATATCCTGTATGCCCTGCTCCTCTTCCCACTACTCCCCAGACACTGCTGTGTAAAAAGACACTTGCAAGCTTCTGTGTCTTCAAGTTTCTTTAAGAAATATAATGTAACAACATTATTGTTACATTGTGTTTACACTGGTTCCTTCATATGCAGATCAAAGGAATTACCTTTTAGCTGCATATGATGTAGCTTTATGGATACTTGCAAGTAAAAACAAACAAAAAAATTGTGTTCCAATTTAGCCCTTATTAACTCTTAGTTAACCCTAAACAAGCTTAAATAAATCTTTCCTCGCCTTAGCTATTATTTTTCTTTTGATTTTTTTTTCATCTTTTTTAACCATTGATATCATTTTTTTTTCTTTTTGTATGTGTCACATAAACAAATATGCACAACTGAAAAAAAAACACCTTTATTTCATTTGTAAATAACTTCAATGTGCTTTGTATCACATCAAACAGCCAGTCTACCCAAAAGGAATATCTTAGTTAGAAGTGGATCCTAGTGGGCCGCGTGAGCGCCTGGCTTCTTGTATGTCTTAGATAATCCAACAGCAAGTTCCTTCTTCCATAATTCCAGACTCTATTCCTGTCCACCTGGAAGGTGTGGGTGTTCCTAACCCACCTTTGCGTGTTTCATCATTTCCTTTTGCAATCTTTATACTATATAATTAGTAGAAAATCCAACATAGATAGTGGACGAGCAGACTCAGGGACACAAGTGCATATAACTCACCAACACAGTCTCTAAGATATAGAAAAAAAACTGTCAAGTGGTTTACTTTCCAACAAAAACATCAGTTTTGAGTGATTTGACTTTTGTATAACGCTATTGGTTCCTGAAGTGTTCATACAGTACATGCAATCTATATAGCAGTGGTTTGCAATACTGTCCAATGTGCCTGCTTACAACTACCATATGTCTTTTACAGGCAGTCGATCATGGCTATGTCTGCTGAAGCTTATCAAGAATTGGAAACAGCCACTTGCCTCCTGAGTGGGTCCTCATCTCTTGCCTCTCGACTAGGCCGTGTGTGCTTAGCTGTACTCTTTTGTGCTCGGTTTGGAATTTTAATAGTTGGATATCGGACAGTATGGGAGGAGGAAGAGAAGAACTTCCATTGTAACACCTCAAACCTCCTGTGTAGGCCAATCTGCTTTGATGAGTTCTCCCCAATCTCCTCATTCAACATTTTCTCTTTACATCTGGTGGTACTGCTTACTCACTCTATGTGTGTAATCTACTTCAGTAGCTCAGCCTACCAAGTAAAGGAAGGATGGCTGCATTCTCAACTCAGGAGAAAGTCTGTTCAAACGAAATTACACATAATCGTGCTGATAAGCAGGATACTTATTGAGGGCCTTTTCATTTTTACCTTCTATAAAGTAACAGATGGATTTGCGCACAGGAGGACAACGCGGTGCGAAACAACACTCTGTGAACCGTTTGTCATCTGCACAGATTTAAATGCATTTCTTAAGAATATCCTTAGCTTGTGCCACTGTGCAGCCTCTGCAGCCAGTGCCATGATCTGCTTCAAGGAGTTACTAACCTGCCTGCCGGCTGTCCAGAACGTAAAGAGGCCCCTAGCTGGTCAGTCACAAACCAAGAAGCTGCACTTCTAGCAATGTTAAATGAGAAATGAAGCCATTTTTTTTAGTTTTGGATAGACTAAATGAGGGTTATAACCCTTGCAGCATTTTTTTTTCATCTCCCATTGGAGAGGTTTCCCTTCACTTACTGTCCAATAGCCACAACAGGAAGTAAGAGGAAATCCCTCCAAAGAGAGGGAAAGCCCTGGTGGTCAGCAGGCTCACCAGAACTAGCATCCCTATTGGAAGATTTCCCTTCTATTCCTGTTCGGATGACAGCCCAAAAGTTGGGATTTTCTTCTATTTTTACTTTCAGTGATAACGGTCACCAGGACATATAAAGAAGGTGACTCTCCCTAACGGGCACACAGACAGTAATAACAACCTAGTAGATGTCGAAATTAGAGAGCCACACTAATTAAAATTGTTCATATACAACTTTATTATATGGTCAGAGGACTGGCTGCCAAGACCATTTGTTGAAAAAGTACTCCCATTACAACTCAATACAACTTTCAAGATGCAGGGATTGTAGTCCACATACATGATTTCTTTATTAAGCCCTGATGAAGGGGGGGTGTTTTGGACCCCCAAAATGCATTGGCTTCTCTACTTGAATGTCCCTTAACCCTAATGGAATAAAGTCCAGTGTCTGGACTATTTTAGTTGGTGTGGCCTTTCATTTCCTACATCTACTGTGTTTACTTGTCCAGCCACTGTGGATGTCCTTTGGATTGTGGAAGCTGCCTACCCGACACATATTCACATCACTTAACTACTGTTGGAAGAGGAAACAAATGAATAACCAAACAGGCTTTCTTTCCACACTTCCATATATCTGTACCAGCAATAAAAACATAACAGGGGTTCTAGTACCTCTCCACTCTAACAAAAAAGTTTTGGCTTCAGTTGTACTTTAAGCTGCATTGTAGGATGTCTATTGTCAACAAAAGCATGTTTTACATAGAGTGCATTTCTTAAAATGTGTGTAATTTGAAAACTTTTTGCTAGTAACGTACTGTGTGTTTGCTCACTACTTCATGGCAACAGCTGCCACAACAGGTGCTTTTAAGGCAAACAAGCAAATGAGAGACCAAAGTCCAAACTTGCTTCCCTTTTATGACACAATAAGCCAGACAAATCATTATTAGACATCTGTTTTGTCATTTAAACAATTTCCTACAGTACTTGTTTGCTGTGTTATGGTTCATTATTTAAGAATGTTGTATTAAAGTGTAAGTTTTCTTTTAGTTTTGGATAGAATACGGACAGATTAGAACCCCTGTTGGTGATGTCCATTATTGTCCACGTGCCCACAGTTTTACTAGAAAATTAGTAAATGAGGGAATAGCTACAACCAACAAGGACACAGACAGCAATGAAAAAAAGAAGACATGGGTTCCAGCCTTCCCCTACTCTGCCAAATACAAATTATAGATAGATAGATAGATAGATAGATAGATAGATAGATAGAATTTGATCTGATTAAACCACTATCCCCAGGACAGGGAGTTAGGGGAAATCTCTCAAACAGAGCCTTGGATTGCAGTAAAACCTGACAAGGCTTCTAATCCTTTTTCTACTCAATCCAAATTTAAAACGTTCTGGCTGACCTTAAAGTTAAAGGTACCCATAAAAATTAGATTTTCATCTAACACATAGAGTTTTAGAGTTGTGTTAGATGCGTCATCTAACACATAGAATTTAAACTGATTAATTATTGTTCCCTCAATAATTGACTTCTCCCCATCATTTGTCTATGACTAGCCTGAGTGTCAATCAGTTAATCAAATCTGCTTCTTTCCTTGTAAATAAAACAAATGTAAATAAAACAAATGTTATTAAAGTACATATAAAGGTCTGAAGAGGTCTCAAATCCAGTTATGCTTTATGCTTCATCACATATAGAAAAACTTCCTTTACCTTCCCTGACAGAGCCAAATGCTCCTTCATTTGTGCCTCACGTGTCCTGCCGCCCAGACACTGCAGCCTACAGTATGTGGATTTCAGCAACAGAGGCAGTGCTGCCGATACAGAAAGCATTGGGCAGGATGAGGTGTGACCGGGTGTTGGTTGACAAGCTTGTGAATCAGCAGGGACAATCCACCCTGCAAACCAGGCGCATTCTACATGAGATTGGCAAGATCTGCTTTGAATAAAGGAGCAGTGCAGTATTGTTGTCACCTCATTGTGGAAAGTCGCATTAGATACACTTTACTGGCAGGATCATCAGCTATTTGTGGGACTTTGCAGGGGGACTAAAAGAAAACGTGCAGATGCACCTATAATTAAGTCCTGCAGAACATATATTTCCAAATGGGAAGCCACAATACTTCTTTAAATGCAAACCTAAATGTTTATTTCTTACCTTACTGCAACTCAATTTGAAAGTGATCCAATCATTCAGTTTTAAGTTGTTCTTATGATGATATATATGCCAATATAAAGAAACCAGTTATTTCTTTGAAACCTATGAAAGAGATACTAAAATAAAAATGTTTTTAAGCTATTTCAAATGCTGAATCAATCCTTTACGATGTATGTTGCTCCTTGATGTTTAAAGGTCTTAGGTTCCTGCTGAATCTGCTGATCCCCTGAGCATTGGTCCCGATATCCTGTTTTAGGGTGGCTGCTTTCCCTTGCAGGGTCCTATAGAGCCACCTTTGTGTGTGCTAATAAGCTATGTGTGTCTCCAGAAACACAAAGCCATTACAGGGTAAGCCTCTTTCCTGCTCCCCACTCCTGTCTCTACCTTTCTCCATATTAGTAGATAGACCGCTGCTGGATAGTGTGCTGTCCTTTGTGATACTGGACAGAAAGGTCAGGGAAGCTGAGCACAGAGAGTTGGAGCAGTTCAGAACCATGATGTTGGTAAGTGTTTGGGCAAGAATGTAAAGAATGACATTGCTGGGCAATGTATATTTGTTTGATCTGGATTTCTTATTGAAAAAAAAAAAGTTATACTACTTTAAGGGTAATACAGTTTTGGATTTTAAAAATCCAGATAAATATAGATATATATCTATATATATATATATAGATATATATCTATATATATATATATACACACACACGCATATATTATATATACATACAATGAACTGGCACCAGACACAGAAGTGTATTTTGATTGTATACTAGGCGATGTGTTCAGCAAAGCTTTATCTGTTTACAGTACACAAGAAAAGCATGCCATTCAACATATTTCAAGCTGCCATAAACAAGGTTTGCTACCTAGGCAATACCTTGAAGGTCATTTCCTATTATGCTGCAGGTAACCTAATGAAACCAGGATCAATGCAGATACAAGGAGATCAGAAGGATACCTATCTGCAATGCACAATTTACATGAGTGCCTGGAATAATATACCACCCCAGTTATAACCAGCTGACACTTGGAAATGTTTCAAAGACACACTGCTAATGTATTTATTCACATAACAAGCCAGGAATCTCTTCACAGGGCTCCTTGGCTCAAAGCACAACAGTATACTCATTTACAATGTCACTAAATTCTGAAAACTATTGCAGTCAGCAGAAGGGTGTACCCAGGGCCCTGGGCTGTTTTCAAATCATTGGCCCCCTTTCCCACCAGTTTAATAGGACCATGTATAAAAAAAAGAAGAGAAATAAAGAATCTGAAACTGTACATATACCGTTAGTACATTGTAAAACACTTAAAAGTGGAACTGAATGTAAATGGATTTCCCCCACTTCACAAACTTTGGAAATGTGGAGACAAATGGTTAATGTGGTCATTAAATGTGAACAACTTGTGTATAGGTGGAGAGAGTATCCTAGGAAACTTTCAAAATGTTGGGAGAGTTGGTTGGTGACCCTGGGTCTTGCCCCTCCTCAGTTTATTTGACAATGGCTGTGGGGTAATTACTTCTTAGTTGCATGTTGGCAGCCTGGGTCAGTGCAGGGTGGGGTGTGTGGTCAGGGGACCCCTTCTATGTTAGGGTGGAGAGTTGGATTATTTCACCTTGGTCTTTTCTCATTTAGGTTGCTTATGCAATACATAAAATCAGTACTAGCAAAGTATGGAGCATAATATTGTGGTTCATTTTGTCTCTACTATGTCTATAATCATCATTGCTTCCCTATGATTATAACGAATGGGGAAATATTTTTCAGTCTTGGCTGCCATAAGATGACTTCTCTTGGTTTTTGGATCTATGTGACTCTAAGAAGGCAGTGTACTACTGTTGGGAGGCACATCCTAAAACATTTAATGTGAAAATGGCTTAATGTAGCTTATTTTGTAATAAAATGCCTAAACCTCAATCAATTGCCTTAAAACTTTGCACAGCCTAAGTATTCAGCTTCCCAAACCTATCCTGGAAGTTTCAAACAATACAAGACTATTTATGCAAACATATTCTGGTGAACAACAGGGAATGACGTGTCGAATGTTCGCCTCAGCTGAGGCGAATGGGCTCTTCCCTTCAGTTTGGTTGAATGTGCTGAGGCTGTTCGACCCAGCCGAAGGGAGGTGAATTGTGCCTGAAAGCAGCCGATGTACAGCTTAAGATTTTCTATGGTCAGATGGTAAAAAGTGCTACAGATTCCTCCATCTACGCCAAACTGTGTGGATGGAGGAATCTCCCACTGGGCCAAGCTTCAGTAAGTCGGCCCCGCTGGCTCTCAAAATACCTGAACAATGCCTGCATCCAATCAGATTGTTCAGGTGTTGTAACAGCCAGCTGGGCTAACTAGCAAGATACTGAAGCTTGGCCCAGTGGGAGATTCCTTCATCACAGGTCGGCTTAAATTATGGGGATGAGTGATTTTTACCCACCCCCTAATTCTCCTTAAAATATTTTAGGAAGCCCGTTTGGAGCAAGGTTGCGTTGAGGCTATTTTATATTTTCTTGTTTTGTTGTTTATTCTCTGCATTATGTAAGTCCCTCTTTCTGATTCAACGCAGAAGACAAACATTATTTCCGTTTGTTTTTATTTAAAGTAAAGAAAAAGTATCTTATTTAAAGGAGTGGAACTAAATGTTTGCGAACTAAAACTGTGAGCGGTCCGGCTGTTTATTGCAGAAGAGACATGCGATGTCCTGCCTGTC